CCACAAAGAAAGTACTGCGAGCCAGTAGTGGGCCATACATTTGGTGCAGCACATACTGAGCCATGATGTATAACGCTGCCTCTCGTCCTCAACATTTTCTCACATGGCACGCGCGTTTGTACGACCATCCACGGATCCCACGGCCGATGTGTCAAAGCACAACAACAAACGGCAAAAAAGAAACGAAAAAGAGCCTCTTGCCCCGGGCGTGATACACAACTTGAATGCGTCATTTTGCAGTAAGGGTTGACCGGCCGGGCCATGGCGGCCGTTGGCAAACCATGCTTACTGCAGCTTTGGTCTAGCTGCAATAATGGTCCACAGGTATTAACGTTCACAACTAAGACGCACATGATTTCTAACTGAAGAATCCCATGATTTGTAGCAAAAGACGAGCGACAACATGCTCTTCAATGCGCGACTAGTCTCAATACTATCAAACGCTACCTAATTTCATCCATGTTTTCCAACTTTTATCTTGCAAGCCCCAAAATGCAACGTATGCTCGTGTGGAGAAAATAAGGTGCAGTATACAGAGCAAGGTTTCTGCCATAGCTCACAAACTTGATGTTTCTGAAGATGTGTCATGTTCCTCGTGGGCAGCATTTTGCCGTACGTTAAAGAAATTATTTCACGTTTGCGTATAGTTTTTGGACTGAAATTACCACTTTGAAGATTATTTGGTGGAGTTCACAGCTCACCCCTTCTTGAGACCTAAAACCATTTATTTTCTGAGTTACACGTCCGCGAAAATGTGCAGACTGTTTCGTGCGAACCATTTCAATGTCATTCAGACATGCACAATGCCATAGCAACGCCATTCACATCATGCCACCACATAGCCCATGCGGCGTTCAAGTTCAGGAAGAATTTTTCGTCGAGTCGTTCAGATCTGGCGTACCTGAGCGCAATTTCCAAATATGGCGGATGTCAACTGACTCTCAATCAAAGTTGAACGGGCTGTGCAAGTTTTAATCGCGAATCACGTTTTTGCTACATAAAGGAAAAAGTTGGACATGATCGCTAGCTTTTAGAGAATGACATGCAATCAAATAGCTTAAGACTAGCGCCATAACTGAGCGTGTCAATACAAGAAAAGTATTAAACGATGCATGAAACACCACAAGAAACTGATAAAACACCAACACAAAACGGTATTTGGCTCAGCGAATACTTCCAGCTCCACCACTCCCATTTCTCAGCGAGTTTCAGGTACTACAAGTGAGTCAGGGGTAGCAATTTCTCAAGGCTAGTTGGTAGCACCGCATCGTCATACAAAGTTCAAAGACAGAATCATACAATGACGTTAGGAGGAGCATAACCACTAAATGGAGATTTTTTGCGCGGAGCAGTTTGTTTCATTAACGGCATGCCAACAGTTATTAAGGTACTTATAGCATGACGTCTGGTGCCTAATGCAAGGTCTTCAAGCATAGAACGTTTCCCTTAAATGTTTGGAGCTTTACAAGATGCTTTTTGGGCGAAAAACCTGCAAACTACCGCATCAGGCACTAAGCACTTACTGTTATATACCGCGGACAAATATAGATCGCAACGCATCCGCATTTCTGCCAATTTTGTGAACGTGTCACACCAGATGCCTTGTTTTTGGAGCCAGCAATGTGCACATCTTCTACAATAGATGTCAGTGACAAAAACATGGAATATTGTAAAACTATTTCCATTGAGTTTTTGGCATGCTAGGCTCTAGGCTCCAGGACCCAGGTCATGTGGTCTAGCAGCATCAATTTGCATTGTAAGTGTGCCTAGAATTTCTAGGAACGCCTAGGTATTAAGCATTAGCTCCCAAATTGCCAACTTTCACATCCTTCCATCCAGTCAGGCGTAAATTAGGAGTCCTTATCCCGTCTCTCAAGCCGAGATGGCCGCCGAAGCCTGCCACGCGATTGGCAATTACAGAAAATCCGCACATTCTGGGCGAGTGAAAATCCTCACTGCAGAGCAATTAGCGAGGTCTTTTAAGGCATCCAAGTCTCAGACGGTCTCTTGGGTTAGCCATACGCCAAGGTGCGGATAGCAGTGATCGTGGCATAATTGCCGGTTTGACATGGAATTACACCATGAAATTACACCTTATATTAAAAGGCCTCATCTTCCTCGAGACATGTAACTTTTTTGTAAGGTTACGGCAATATAGGCGTTTTTGCTGATGCACACTTTCCTCCTCTGTTTGTATGTATAATTCACCTTGCGTCGATTATGTAATGGTGATGATTTGGGTTTTAGGGCGTTACAGCTGTTACTAGGCCTTGCGCTGGCTGGTGTGCCACTGCCGAAGAGTGTGCAGCTCCTGGCGGTCAGCACAGCGCTGACGTCGCTTCACCACTAAAATGACGCTTTTATTATGGAATTTGCTGGAACCTGACTTCAGTCCCAACATTGCTCATTGCATGATACCAGCAGTTCTTTACTGCTGTTGGATGAAAACAATTTGAAAAGGTGCAAAGTTCACAGTTCAAGTTGAGCAGGTCCCGTCAAGCTTCCATAAACGGCCCCCCCGGCGTATCACCCGCGCATACCCCGCTGGTCTGTTAGCAAACGCATCTCAGCAATATTTGTGCCGGTGTATGCCGCGACAGTCATTTGTCTCTGAGGTGTTCTCAAACACCAGTTCAGTAACCCATGGCTCACTTGACCAGCGCATGATTAGCCAAGAGGCTGTACGAGATTGCTGTTGAAGAGTTATCTATTGCACTGGCGATGTTTGTGTATATATATATATAATATATATATATATATATTATATATATATACCTGGTGTTTTTGCCAGTGGCCTCGTTTAACTTAAAACTCCTTGTCCTTCGCCTTCTGTGACCTGGTCTTCAAGAGATCATCACCTCGGCTACGCTGTGAAAATGTATCGCCTCCAGCATTTCTGGAAGAAAATATAGGAGAGGGCAGGGTTGACTTCGTTAGCACCTCCAGGTCATGCCACTCTGGCCAGGCCGAAAAGGCGTGTCTTGACGGAACTGCGCATGCTCGTTAGGTGATTAGTCCCTGTCACATAACGCTTGAAAGAACGGCTCCAAAGCACGCGCCAGTACTTTTCCAGCGGCAATGCCTAGTTATGATGACGCTTGCATTGATCGTTGTGTAGTCGCTGAGTGCCAGGCAACTGAGGTTTGAGGGTGAGCTTGAATTCTTTTTGTCACGAAATTTGTCAGCGTCGATCTTTCTACAGTCACAGTGTCACTTGTGCAGGCTTGTGTGACGCGCCACTTTCCGTCCGTCCGTGCAGGCTGCCCTGAGATGCGGCATCCTCCGGTCCGGGCCGCCAGCGAGTGTCGGGGGGCCGGCTGACCTGCCGTCTCGTCCGGTGCCGGGCGCCGCTGACCTGTTGTGACCTCTGGCGCGCCGACCTGTCGGCCGCCCCGGCCGACGACGCCAGCCATCACTATGCCGAACCGGAAGGGCCTGCTGGCCCCGCAGAACACGTTCCTCGACACGATCGCCACGCGGTTCGACGGCACCCGTGAGTGACTGGGGTGCGGCTTGATGACACCCGTAAATGGCTTGGGTGCGGTTCAACGGCACCCGTGAGTGGCTGGGGTGTTCGACAACACCTGTGAGTCATCGGAGCGGGGTTTGACGACACCCGTGAGTGGCTGGGGTGCAGTTCGACAACACCCGTGAGTCACCGGAGCGAGGTTTGACGACACCCGTGAGTGGCTGGGGTACGGTTTGACGACACACGCCAGTAACAAGCGTGCGGTTTGACGACGCACGCCTGTGACCAGGGTGCGGTTTGACGACATACGCCAGTGACGAGGGTGTGGTTTAACGACACGCCAGTGACCAGCGTGCGGTTTGACGACGCACGCCAGTGACCAGGGTGCGGTTTGACGACACACGCCAGTGGCTAGGATGCCGTTTGATGACACACGCCAGTGGCCAGGATGCTTCGGCGCGCCTTTTGACGCCCGGTCTTCAAAGGCTCAGGCGGATCGCTCAATTATTCGACCGACTGCAGGTCAAGATGGTCTTCAACAGCGTCGCGACTAGAATTTCGTTCAGGGGGAACGGTCTGAAGATTCTCTTACTTGATAGAAAAGCCACGGCGGTAGATGGGTTTACTGACGATAGTGCGGCCATATTTGGGTCCATGCTCTATTGATCAGGGGATCAGTGATATTATTGTGGTTGCGAAGAGTCTATTTGCATATCAGGGAAGGCAGCTTCTCACAGGCGTTGAGCGCCGGCTGCACACCGTATTAGGACAATGACACAGCTGTGTCTTACTCTCAACCAGGGACAAAAAATTGTTTCGCCAGCGCAAACATGTTCTTTGTGAATCCAACGGTCTCCGTTATCTTGACATGTTCTGGCATCCCTTTCTGGCTGAAATCTTTTTGTTTATTAACACCTCTCGCTATGCATCTTAGAAGCATCACGTTCTGCTCCAAAACCCTTGGGAAAGGACAAAAACCATTTTGGGTCTACTGTTTCGTCGCAGCTCAGCTCCTCAGCAGAATATTGAAAAAAACGTCGGTCAAGATAGTTATTTTTAGTTTTAACGCTCTTTATGCTGGCCTAGCAGTGGCATACTGTATGTCGTCATTGATATTAATATTACAATGATATATGTATATGTACATATAGATATACATTTAACTGTATACACACTGGCGTAGTTGCTTCAAATAGTGCACCCGTCCACGAAAGAAACATCTTAGTATTCTGCACCTCCACCTTCCATCCTTAATTTTATAATTAAGATACACAGTGTGCCACTCATTACATGCACGGTACAGTTTGTTATCGTTACATCAGCTGAGTGATAACATCGTTGCCCATGGCCAACGTAACCCCAGCTCCTTCCTGATTGGCATGTTTCATGCCCAGAATTGAACGAACCGTTTGCAAAGTCGGTCAATTGGTTAGTTGTGGGGGCGCCGAGAAGACAGTTGGGTAGCCCGGCGGGTACGTGGCACAGAGGTGCGTATTCGGCACAACCGCGTGTACTCGGCACAACGGCGCGTACCCGGCATAGCATCGCGTACCCGGCACAGCGTCGCGTACCCCGCACAACGGCGCGTACCCGGCACAAAGGCGCGTACCCGGCACAACGGCGCGTCGGTTCAGCCTTACTGCCTCAGATTGGCATAAGTCGCCTGTGGTTTTAATTCTGGACAGTAGTAGGGTTAAGACAACGCGACGTGCAGCGTTACTTTGCCCTGTGTCAGATGCCATACGCTGCTTTACCCATATTTCGCCTAACCTTCAGCCAAAATAAATTCCCGGCACGGATGTGACTTCAGGTTCATTGTGAAAACAGCTTCTGACGTCAGTAAGGAACGCAGCAAATCCTACAGATGACATAGATACGGCTTTAGACGACTGCCAGCAATGCGACGCGTTCGTGACGCCCACATTCGACACATTCCGGCCTGATTGCTATCGTGTCAAATCCAGCTGCCTTCAGCTCCTTCTTCAGTTCGTTCCGTCTTTGGCTCGCTGCGATCGAGACAATTCCTGTTCTGACCAGCTGCTGTCCACGGCCAGGCATGCATGCTGCGTGGTATTAAACAGCTCAGCACGATCCTTTAGCTTATTTATTGCGATGTGTATAGTTCGATTTGACAGCGAGCGGTGACTCGAACCTATCGGTGTTTTTCTGTCTCGATTTGACAGCGAGAGGTGACTCGAACCTATCGGTGTCTTTCTGTCTCGATTTGACAGCGAACAGTGACTCGAGCCTATCGGTGTCTTTCTGTCTCGATTTGACAACGAACAGCGACTCGAACCTATCGGGTGTCTTTCTGTCTCGATCTGACAGCGAGCGGTGACTCGAACCTATCGGTGTTTTTCCGTCTCATCGCCACAACGCTCCAGCTTGGACACTAAATCGGACAACCTGCCCCAGATACACATTTGGCATGTCCTATCAAAACTTTGGCACCCTATACTGCCCACAGGCGGCTTCGAGCGTTGTTTGTGGGAGACATCTCGAAATAAATCGTAGCCTATTCCGAGGAATGCTTTGTTAGAGCCCTTCTGCGGCAAAAAGCAATATTTTACCAAAATACATGTTCATATCAGATGCATCTTAAAAAGCCTTTTGCTACACTTAATGGAAGCTGAATTGGCGTAGTTGTGCGTAGCGAGCGAGAAGGAAGGTTTATGTCATGCATCGACGTTAGTTTCGGAGCAAAATTCGAGTGCCTCCTTATGCGACAGCTGTAGACCTATTGCCAGCGATATGTTCGTTGTTACCTTTGAAAAATTACGTAGGCTGCTCAGTGCTTTGGCGAGGAACATTAGCCACATATATAAAACAGTAGTATTAGCCTTATTCCTCGGAAAATCGAGGAATAAAAACCGACATTCACTTCTGCTATTGTTTCGAGGAAGGCATGTTGCCGAAATATCAACCTTATTATATCACTTATCTCCTGGTTTTTCGGAGGAATGAGGCTAATACTACTGTTATCAATGTTACCTTTGCAAACACTGAAACGGTGAAAAAAGCAGGCGACACGGTCGTGTACATCCAAATATGGTATAGGATAAGGGAGGAACAGTGGTTCATATGTCAACCTCGAATTGGGTCTGATATCAAAGCAGACTCCCAAAGCTGCTGAGGCGCATGGACGAAGCCAGACGCAGTCTCATGATTTGAAATACTGGGGGGGAGGGGAGGGGGGACTGCAATTGTTAGGATTTGTACGCATCTCAACTCTGTATTACACATGTCTCGCCCCCCCCCCCCCCCCCAGAGCTTTGCATATAATCTATGCCCTCCACTGATCTGGGTCATTACAGAAACGTGGATAAAAGTTTAACGATTTGGTATAAGGTAACAGGGGCGCATCCAGAATGTTCGTAATAGCGAGGCCTGAGTTCGGTGAGAACGCATCGCACCTATTTTTTAATATTTTGTTAGGAACCACGCATAGTGAAAAAGCGACCTGTTGTACAAGGGAGTGGGCGGGGGCGGGCAAAGATTGGTGAAATGATATTGAGAAAATAAAAAAAATGTCATATGGGTTTCATAACCTTTATAAAAAACCGGAAAACATACTCACATCTCATAAAATTCCAAAGCGAGTTAGCCCTTGCCAACCAGCGCTCTTGTCACCTGTCCTACGACGGGAGGGGAGGGGGGACGCGTTCAAAGGTCTCCAATATCTCGGAAACTAAGCGAAACCTTGAGCCATGAAGAAACGGGATTACGCAGCTCTAGTTAATGGCATACAGGTGTGATTGAACAACAGTGAAAATAATTCTCGACATCAGGTCAAGTCATCAAGAGTAGATTATCATTTCAGAAACCCCCCGTTATCTCAGGACCTAGGCGTGTTACGAAAAGGCGGAAAACGGCGTTTGATGACCCTTGTAAATCTTTGACCAGGCGGGTGCTATTGAATACGAATATATGTGGCCCGTAATATATCAAAAACGGCCAAAAGGCAAAATTAAACATTTATAGATGCTGCATTGGCCGGTGCAGGTACATGAAGAAAACTCAACCAGCCATGTCAGCGGAGGTAAACAGCGTTAGCAGAAAATTTTAAAAACTGTAAGGTATGTTTCATTCATGATCAAATTATTGCAGACTCAAAAGACCGAATCCCGTGACAAAGACGGAACGATGATAATGTACTAACCAATTAAATTTAATCACCTATTAACTCACTTTTTAATGTTTAACTTTATCGCTGCTTGATTCAGATTTCAACAATCAAGTTAGACAACCTCTGCAGCTCATTGCCAGCAAAACAAAAAAAAACAAAAAAAAACGGCACGTTCCCCACTTGGACAAAACTTTACTCACATGACTTCGAGAAAGATGTAACAGATCATAGGCCGCAGTAATTAAAAAAACAGATTTTCGCAAGAGCATAAACTCTTAGTCAAAAGTCCCGCACCGTGTTCAAACCCCGTGGAGAAGTGCTTCCGAATAAAACTGTATGACATAGTCTCTGAAGCCTATTCCCTAGACGAAGATTAAATATGACGTAGACGAGGTATGTGCCCATGAGGCAGATTCTGTCTAGAGCGATAACGAGGCAGCACACTTATAACGAATTTGTTTATTGGCCTTTGAGAAAGCTCAGCTCCGCTGTTTCCCTAGGCATTATCACAGGAGCCGGCATGGCCATAGCCCCCATATCCGAGTGCACAGGCTCACTTGGACGGATTCTTGGCACCCGTCGCTGGGGGTGTCTTGGAGTCTCTTTCATTTTGACAGCACCTCTGTTTCTATGCAGCTGATAGGGCCTGAATTCGTGCCCAATTCGTGTTTCCTGGTCTCCTCCTTCCCTCCCTGCCGGGATGTCAGAAGTTAATCGGCCGATTTGGCGATCTGTCAGATCGTCTCATATCGTTGATCTATATCGCCTGGAAGCGTGGCGCAGCATACGGCGGGAGCGCATAACTCTGGCAGCTGCCACGGTGCGCATCCATCGGGCGCCGTGACCCCGCGCCCGGTCGATCGCGCTTGCGCGCCTGGCAGCGCGTGGCAGGCCCGGC